AACCATTGTTCACCAACATTTTCCTCAAAAAAACCGCTATACACCAAATACAACATAGAATCAACTAACTTATCAGTTACAGAATGTAGATTATTGATTTAACTAATCTTCTAATGAGTAAGTGCTTCAAAAAGAAAGAAAAGCAATTATGCTACAAAAACGGTTGGCATGAAAATTGAAGAAATGCTTTGTACACTGAAAAGAACATATAAAGCTCATCTAAGAAAGCAGTACATTGGAATTTTTTTAGGAAAACACTATTAGAGACATAAGGACAAACACTTATGGAAGTGCTTATACATAATTTAATACGGAGTATCAAACAGCCCGGTATTGGATGGGGTTTTTACCTTTTCCATCTATGCTTCCTGCAAGACAACTCTGATCCTGCAAGCATATAAGACAATAGTTATAAAATTAACAGCATATTGCAGGTTAAAGACTTCCGTGATAAAGTGTGTGTTGATGTATTTGTGTAAATCTGTATATAAATAATTAATATACCTTCTTTGTAAGAGCAGAAGCCTTTTCTCCGTGGGAATCATGATCGGAAGAGCTACTGTAGGCCAAACCTGCATCCATTAACCAAGAACGTGCAAAACATTCCACCGAATCAGCAATTAAGGTAGTCTGTAACCCCAAAATGGCCCATAATGGCCCTCGCTTACAGATTTTATTACTAACAGATGGAACTCAAGGAAGTGACAAACATTATCTAAAAGTTTTAAAGCAGAGATTTGGATCGCAAAGTACGGACAAACAGGGGTTACAAATACAATTCCATAAATTGTAAAGCATGATGTTCCCATCCAGCCCGATCAAGAATTTCAGAAAGACTATCAGTAGGAACATAAATCAAGCTTACAAATTTTTGGATCTAAACATCCAACACTGAGATGATATAACTGGATTGAAACACCAAAGAACCATGTAACCCATAGTGGCAAGGGGTAGATCCATAAAGAGAGATGATATAATCGGAAAACAGGTAAGTTTAAGTAGTAGAAGGAGATGACAGGGTTGGCGGCATATGTCGCAGAGAGAAGTGTAAAAGCTGAAAAGATATGATAATAAGTTGTAGATCGAACGAATGGTGCAGATTACAGAAACCAACCACTATGCATTTCTGACAAATTTTGCGAAAGCAGTTCAGTTTCAGAGTTCAGACTCCAAAAAATTCAACCAATTAGAGCACACTCAAGGCTATGAAAAAAACAAAGTCATACTACTGAACCATTTGAAACTTTAACATATTTGCTTAATTAGGACCCATCCATATAATGGCCACTCCTACTAAGAGAGGTTCAAGAAAAAACTTCAACAACCAAATGACCTAATCTGATTTCAACTTGCAAGTAGTAATTCATAATACAAAGCCAACATATTTGCCAAAGCACTAAGCATTGGCAACGAGAATACACAGGTCTGTAAGGATGTCAAAGCCTGACCTGAATTCCTAGTCGGATCCCGCGCATTTACACATTCATTACTCTGTAAAGCAGTATCCTTTTCGATTTCAATCAAGGGATAACTGGATACAGGAGGCTCATTTCCACCAATGTCAATCTCATCCTCAGCAAGATCGTTACCTGTATAGTGCATACTAAGATGAATGACATAAAATACTAAGCATAAGTGAGAGGAGGAAAAATGGGCCATATTTAAACATGAGAAACCTTTGTCTAGTTGCAGGGATGAATTGCTAAAGCCCGACTCGTTTTGAAGCTGAAAATGAAACATGATAGGAACACGATGAATAAATCAATCATGCATATTTAACGATATTTAAAGGAGAACATTTTGATCCTTTTTTTTGCTCAAGAGGGGAACACTGCATCAAAAATGAGGCTACCTCAATCTCGCAAGCCTCTGCTTTTGTACTGCTTTTTTGTTTCTGATGCAAAAATTCATCCATTAGTACTCTCAATTTGAATAATGTTTCATCACTGAGAACATCAATATCAATCTCGATTTCATCTTCTCCCGCCTCTGCTCCACCAGAACTTTGTTCCTTAAGAAACTCAATTATGTTGTCTGGTAAATCTGCCAGTGAGGCTGCCAATTCCTCGCTTAATCTGTTTTTCTCTTCATTACTCATCCTCGGTTTAGGAGGTTCTGGGACTACCATATGCTGTTCAGGAGAAAGTTTCCTCTTCTTTGAAGAAGATGCAGGTTTTGAAGATATAGGCTTTGAAGATACAGGTTTAGTTGTTTCGCTTTCTTCGTGTAGACCAGAGTTAATTTCTGCTGATTCAGCAACACTGATAGGAATTTTCTTCTCGATAAGTTTCCATCTCATTTCAAAAAACTTACGGAGAGTATCAGCCAATAAATGGAAATGATTTCCAGGTGGATTGTACGTCATGGCATTGGAAAAAGTTAACCTAACATCAGAAAGAAAGTCGAGTGGACTCGAGTACTGACCAGAAGACAGTTTTTTCTTTATGGTTCCAAGATCCATTGGATGCTTAATGACGGTGAAATAATCTGGGATGTTTAACTCTACTGGATCGACAGGTTTATTAAAAACCCAGCCATGTTCATGTGTCATTAAGCTTTTCAACAAGTTTCCACATTGCTTAAGTAAGGTTGAATTCAAACTTGATTGTTCTGGAGCCCGTTTTGCAGAGTCAACCCTTCCGGATGAACCCATGTTCCATCTTCGGGGCTTCTGTCCAAGAGAATTCGAGCCTGATTTCTTCCCCGGACCAGAAGATTTTTTTATGCTCCCTGCGGAGGGTCGTTTTTTTGTATTGCTGCAGCTAAGAATGTCACTGCATGATGATGCAGGTACAGTATTTGTTCTGTGAAGTTCAATCTTTTTCTGGAGAATACGAGTCTGTTCAAGTTCGGATCTCAACTCCCGTACTAAGTTCCATCTCTCTGAAGGCGATAATTTAGACAAAGGTATAACTTGGAGGGGGACAGAAAACACATCATCAGAAGTGGAATTTAAATTGACCCACTTTCTTCTATGTGCTGTTGAAGCCTGTGAACCCCCTATTCCAGTAACTACTCTACCTGAGCTTCCAGAATCTTCCAACTCATAATTAGTGGCAAACCCAGCAGAATATCCTCCAGAAAACCTATCCTTCTTTGACATCATCTTTCGCGACCAACACCTATAATCAATCTCTTCTTCAATCCAATCGTCACAAAAAAATAGCTTGGATATTCTTCTCCCTGAAATCAACCAGCCAACACCACAAATCTAAAGCAACCACTCGCATTCAACAATGACTCATAGGTCCCTCTTCCAATACAAGCACGATTAATCAATCAACATTGCACAAAAAAAATCTGATTCCATTATCCATTACCAACTAATAAAAATTTGGGGAAAAGGAATGTTTTTTTTAAAAAAAGCTGGATCCAGAGTTGTTAGCTCGGAAACCAGAGAAGAAAATCCAATTGCTCAATAAATTCAGTCCGATTCCTAAACCTCAGCGAAAGTTTGAAAAATAGATGCAGAATCCGGGCGCGTATATTACACAATACCATACGGATAAATACGGAGATATATAATATATATACGTATATATACACACATATAGATACAAATATGAGAGGTAGAAATATGAAATCGGAGGAAACCTAGAAGGAGAATATCGGTGGGTGCGGTGGATCGGCGATCGCAATCGAAGGGGCTGAAGGCGGAGAGAGCTCCTCCACGGCGGAGAGAGAGAACCAACAGGAGGGAGAAATTCCTTGCAGTCCAGAGGTGCTAATAAAGATCTGAGCCGTAGATCATCATCTCCACTGCCTACGGCTTGACGGAAACGCCGCGTGAAATTATTGTCCGTCGATCCAAATCTGATGGATCTGCCGTGTCCTATGGGCCTGGCCCGCATAATCTCCCTTCGGCCCCTTCCAAATTTAATTTTTAGCCTTTTGAAAACATTAGGACGGTTGGCCTATGGTTGTTGACTGTTCGTGTCGGTAATTTTGAATTACTGTTTAGTTTGGTTGATTTGACCGATTGGATGTGCTGGTTGATCATTAAAAATATTTAACAAAATTAGTTGTTTCAAGATTGAAAAATTATATATATATATATATATGTATGTATGTATGTATGTATGTATGTATGTATATATATATATATATAATGCTTTTAAATTATTTTTTCTTTTGATTTTCTCATTTTAGCTACTTTGTTTTTAAAATTTTCAATTTTAAATTTATTTTTATCTTTTTAACTTTAATTTTTTATTTTTTTACTATATATTATTGAATATCTTTCAAAAATTATAAAACGTGAAAAAAGTTACTCTTAGATTTTGGATTTTCAGATTTTGACTACTCTCCTAAGAGTCAAGTTCAAAAGTTACTCTCCTTGGCTTTTCAGATTTCGGCTTTTTGGATCAAACATCTAAGTGAAAAAGTCATTAGCTAAACAGTGACTTTGGTTGTTCGATTAGTCAAAAAGGTCAAAGTCAGTCAAAGATGTCAAAGGTCATCTGAAATGATATTTTCAAACAAAGCCTATGTAATGACAAATTTAATTTTAAAACTCAATTTTACCATTAGAAATTTATGTACACCAAATCTAATTAAAACAACAATGTCTCCACCAAAATAAATTAGTGGATATAAAGAAAATACAATACTAACCTCTCCATCACATAAAACAACAAGGTTTTGCCTTCAATAAATTTAAAAAATGCATCAAAATATTTAAAAAACTCTTCTAATAAAGATTGTGTGGGATATTATGATCGGACTTTGGTAAATTTAGATTAAATAACGGATTTATTTCACTGATAGTATCTAAATTTTGGAGATTTTTCATTTCAGTAAATAAAAGTTACCTGGGATTGAGTCTTTTTGTTAAAACATTCAATGAGGTTGATGTATTTTAGTGAAAAGAATTAAAATTAAAATGTGAAAGTGAAAAATATTTTAAAAAAAAAACATAAGAAAGTACATAATGAATACTCCTCATTGAATGTTCTTGGGTAGGTGTATAAAGGAATTTTCCTACTTGAGAATTTGCCTGCCAGAAAATGATAAAAACCATTGGCGCCTAAATCGAATCCTCTCCTTCCTCCCATAGAAACTCTCCCCTGTCTTTGGCTCTGCTCACACATAAAAGTACGTTCTTTTCCATTCCAAGAAATGGATCTTTTCGCCGCCGCAAGGTTTTCATTTATTGAGGGAAATGGTAAAGTCGCCGCCGGCCAAGCACCGTCCGACGAAATCCCTAATTCTTCTGGCATTTGTTGGTGTTTTCCTGGTTGCTCTGGCCGTAGATTTCACATGGGCTCCATCCCTGTTTTCCTCAACGTATTCATCTATGGCCTCCGTCTGGACACGCCAGAAGCACCGAGTTGTCTTCTCCAATTTCTCAGACAATGCTCAAAATGTGAGTTTCATTTCTTTTCAATCGGAGCTTATTTTAACCTTCTCTCGGGTCGGGATTATTGAGATCGAATGGGTTATAGCCATATTTAAACTAAATATACCCCTTTATCAAACCATACATTACAGTACTTGAACTATTCATTTTAACTTCTGAATGCTTGAGATACGCTTGTTTGTATAAAATGTGATGAAATCTTCTTTTTGTTGAACTGTTATGATCAAGGACTTTGCTGTCGAGAGTATGAATGTTAGGGAGAACATAAGCGCCTTAAATCGCGAGAGGTTTTCATCAGCTACGTTTGCGGATTTGCCCGCTCCCAGCTTGGATTGGGAGCAAATGCCATCAGCACCCGTGCCTCGTTTGGATGGGTATTCGGTTCAGATAGAGAACAAGCTCTATGTCTTTTCAGGTTATGAAACCCTCGATCATGTAAGAATCAATGCCACTTCTATGAGGTTATGCCTGAGTTTTGAGATCAAGTGTTGCATAGTATCAGTGCTACAAAATGTTGTGTATGATCTCAGGTTCATTCTCACGTGGACGTGTATGATTTCTTGAACGATACGTGGGTGGACAGATTTGACACACCAAAAGACATGGCGCATTCGCATTTAGGGATTGCTAGTGATGGCAGATATGTCTACGTAATAACTGGGCAATATGGTCCTCAGTGCAGAGCTCCTGTCAGTCATTCATTTGTCCTGGACACTAAGACTAAGAAATGGGAGCCCTTTCCGCCATTGCCCTTTCCAAGGTATGGCTTTTCTTAGGCCTTGAAACTAAATTTCACTTAAGCTGTCTTTGATTGGGTGCAATACCAGATTAAGCCTGTAATCTGCTAGGAAATTATCCATAATTTTCCCTTACTAAATAAATGTAAAAATGCTGCAAAAGGAGTATACCAGATTAGGCCTTAACCATTATTTTCTATTTCCTCGACTGCCTTTATTTTTTTACTTTGTATGATATGCGGTGGTTTATATTAGTAATATGCGGAATATGAAATAATAATGAATGTATATGGAGTTTTACTTTTTATAAATATGGAGTAGTTCCTTTATGTACGTTTATAATTGAATGTAATGAGTTATTAATATATAACTGTATCTGATGTTATATTAAATCACGAAAATATACTTTTTGTTATTATTTGATAATACTCATAATAGACAGTTTTATGCACCTTGCATTTGGCACCTCAACTTCAGAGGCGCTGGAGTCTAAATGAAGTGCCAAAGACCTGAATATAGGAACACTGTAATTACATAGAGATTCATGGCAAACTAGTTGCTAACCAAAAAAGGGGGGAATATCAGGTATGCTCCAGCAACTCAACTGTGGAGAGGAAGGCTTCATGTTATGGGTGGCAGCAAGGAGAATCGTCACACACCAGCAATAGATCACTGGAGTATTGCAGTGAAAGATGGCAAGGCCCTCGAAAAAGAATGGGTCACTGAAAAACCTATTCCACGGGGAGGACCCCACAGGTTTGTTTCAACAAATACATGGGTTTTCAGCATCACTCCATAGTTATTTCCTTCGGCAGATTCAACTAGTCACTCTAGTCTTATATGAGAATGTATATGTGCAGGGCTTGTGTGGTAGTTGATGACCGGCTTTATCTTATTGGTGGGCAAGAGGGTGATTTCATGGCCAAGCCCGGTTCCCCGATCTATAAATGCTCTAGGAGATTTGAGGTACTTCCCCTCTCTATAAGTGCTCTAGGGTGGGTGATCGAGTGGCCAAACTCGTGGTTGCACATCGTGAGAAGAATCAACTTATTCAAAAGGCTTTAATATGATTTTGATCGTTGCAAATATAACATCTTTCATCTTTGTATGGTTTGTTTTGTTTGAGGCCTGTGTAAAAGTATATACTGCGTATTTGTTATTCATCCCTATAATTTAGGCAATTTTCTATTTAACTGACTTGGCTTACAGAACTCTGTCATTTTTTAAATGCTTAGTGTAGAATTTCATGGGAGACAAAAGAAGCATAAGTTGAAAGTGAATGATGAGTTTCATTTATTCCAAATTCCTCCAATAGTCCTAGATGAGGTATAGACAGTTACGTTCCAACGACCAAATTGGAGTTTCATGAGCCACATCAGTTTTCTCTTGAACGTTGGCTGGCAGAGAGTGATGAATAAGAAAACGACAAAAATTTTAAGGATGAACAACAAAAAAATCAGAGGGACCTAAAACAATAAAAACATTGAGTTTTGCTGGGACAAAAAGGCATTTAATACTTCATGATTTTTCAGTGGTTTCTTCTCAACTTACAGGTGGTTTATGGGGACGTGTATATGTTGGACAGCGCAATGAAGTGGAAAGTATTGCATCCCATGCCGAAACAGAACTCCCATATAGAGTGTTCTTGGGTTCTGGTAAATAACTCCATTGTCATTGTGGGAGGGACAACAGAGAAACACCCATTGACAAAAAGGATGATGCTGGTTGGAGAGATTTTCCAGTTCAACCTAAACACATTGGTATGCCATTTTATATCCCACGAAAATATGCTTAAAGGTTTATATGTGTCACGTCTGCTAACATGGGAACGCAAGGCACACACAATTTGAACAATCCCGGTCCAACCATAAGTCTCATAGTTGGACTCAGTCCTTAATCAAAACAGCCGAATTGGCACATTTCTTAAACATGTCTTGAACGAGCTACCCGAAGAACACAATTGTGAGCCTTGCGAGGCCCGAGCCACATGAATTGCAGCCCTATTGGCTAACTGTATTCCTTGGTGAGGGTTTAAGATCAAATGGTTTTCACTTTTCAAGCCATGCCCACTCTTTACAATGCTTGCATGCATCTAAAATACTTCCATAGAAACAAACACCAATAATATTTCACATCCAAAATGCGCACATTTTATCCAAATTTTGATGGCATCAATTTGTGCAGAAATGGTCAGTGATTGGACGGCTTCCCTACCGTGTGAAAACTACACAAGCGGGTTATTGGAACGGATGGTTGTATTTCACTTCAGGGCAGCGGGATAGAGGACCGGATAATCCACAGCCGAGAAAGGTTATTGGGGATATGTGGAGAACCAAATTGAACCTCTCATCTTAGGTGTTTCAGACTGATCACCTGCAGCTATTCCCATGTCCCATGATCTTCCACAGATCATCATTGTATCATTCCACAATCAAATCAGCTTAGGATTTTTGTGTCAAATTAAAGGCTCATATATTGTACGAGTAATAGTTAGGTGTTGATTGCAACATCCTAATAGTGCTTTGGTCAATTCTTACTTTGGTAATGTATTTCTCATATTGCTCATATCCTGGTACCGTCTTGTAACCGGTTTGGTAAAACCGTAAAACCCACGGTCTATTTGGAAATGCCATTTTTAATCCGCTTCAGAGTTTTGAATAATGCTAGACTAACAGTACTACCAAACTTAGTTAGGAGGTGGAGAGTGGGGATCTCCTAATATGTTGGGGTTTTAAACCACACATGAGCTTATGTTAGATGCTAAATCATGGGTTGGATGTTAAGACAATGTGATCCAATATTCCAATTACCAATGGAAACTAGTTGTTTCTATATACTTACCCAAAAAGATTTGTTATTAAGTTAAATTTTCTGGGTAGTAAATTAAGAGCATAAAAATATCTCATCATATGAACAACACAAATAACATTGATAAATCAGTTTCCAGTTCAAAACCAGAGTCATTTGAAATCGAATCTCATAACTTCAGTAAGCAAGGCATCAAATTTTGATAGCTATGCATTATTTTCTGCTTCTGTCTCCCTCTTTTTGCCTCTCTTTGTGACTGTAGGCCCCTGTTGTTGCTCGGCCTTCTTTTGAGCTCGGATCATGGCCCGCCTAGCACGAGGCCGCATTTCACGGACTTTGCGAGGTGGCATCACGTAGGGCTCTAAGGGTTTGTCACCAAAGGGGTGCTCACTGCCTGCAAATATTCTCAATTTCCGATCTCTATCCTGAGAATAAAACAAAAAAAAAAGGTTTTGTGGACTGTTTTAGTGGGTTTTGGGAGGCTTATTCAGTTATTCTATATCTTAATAATATCTTAAATAAACTCAGAGTCTCAAAATGTTTGTAAAAATGAATAATGGGTATGGCATGCTTTATGATACCTATTATGCATCTCCATCAAAAGTCATAAAATCTAAAATATGTGGAGCATATGTATATATCAAGATATGTACTTAGCCCCCTCCATCCAAACTGACTCTAAAGATAAACTGAAGAGCAAATAGGCAGGTTTTTTACTAGGCAGTAGGCAAAAACAGAACAGGTAGACGAGACACAAATGCAGACACTCCCCAATTGCAGCTCTATTTTGTTAGCCATAAAAGGAGCTATGATATAAAAGATACTATAAATGATTAGGTGTGAGTATGCCTTACATCGCGCAACTTGTTTCTTGGAAGCATGCGAAGAACTGCTTTGCGGATTACTTCTGTGGGGTCCTTTGCCATTTGGTCCTTCAAACTCCTCTCCTTGAGGTGTCCAATATACCTACAAAAGAAAATAGCTGAGGAATCAATATGGATACTTTTCATACCTAGATCCACACACAAATATCATCAACAGATGCAAGATACTATCCATCTAAACCAGGAAGTGAAAACCAGATAAAGATCACATTTGCTTGAAGAGATTAAGATCCTATTTGGAATTTGGAAATCATCATTTTCGACTATGAAAACTTATTTGTCAGTTCCTTTACCAATCACTAAGTTATGCCAATGTGTTGGAAATGAAAATTGTAGGGGGGGGAGCTGCTATTGTGGATGAAAGGACAAAAAATGATAGTTATGGTGTATAAGTTATACTTTGCCACAATATGAATTTTTTTTAAAAAAAATTGCTACTTGCCCGGTGTGCCATCTGTAGAACTTATTAGTGAGCTTTCTTCCTGTGACACACACATCCTTTGCATTGATCACTACACACATATCCCCTTCGTCCCATTGAGGTGAGTATGTCGGCTTATCTTTACCTTGAACCACAGTTGATATCTGAGCTGCCAGCCTCCCAAGAACCTGGCAAGAATCACATCCATCAGTAAATAAATATTTCGTTGAAGTACAAAGTCAATAGGGAGAGAGCATATTCTAACCTGGCCTTTGGCATCAAATACTCTCCACCTCAGACCTTCCAGATCTATTCGTCTTAAGCCAGCAAGTGCTTTCTGTAGTAACAAATGCGCTTGTCAGTCCCTAATCTTGGAAGATAGCAACGGGAAAGTAATAAATCCTACTAAAGATTATTGCAAGAACCAAAGTTTGCATCTTTCGAACAGTTACATTTCTCAAAGAGATGACAATGGTCGATGGAAAAGATCACACCAAAAGAGAGTAAATTTAACAAACACCTTGCGAGCATGCTCAAACATGACTCTTTTCACTATCAGAGCAATGCAGAAAAAACAGTAAGAACATGAAGATGGAACGAGAGATAAGTAACGAAATTACCTTCAAATTGCCGCTAAAGGGCGGGGCTGTGGCCGCCATCTCTGACGCTGCTGAGCTAGTCGGAGAACAGGCAACTGGTGAAGAGAAATGGCGGGTCTGAGAGACCGATGTACGGAAAAACACGGCGAGGTCGCCGGAGGATATCAGCGCGCGCCTCATATAGATGGCCATGATTGAAACTCGATCTCAATACACAGTCCTCTTCATTATCGTGCTGAATTGGTTTTCTAGGGTTTATTTTGCAAATAGAAAATCCTTTTTAATAAAACGAAAATCCATCACACCCCGTCCCCCACCCACCAAAAAAGAATACAGAGTTTACCGTAATAAATGGTACCTCAATTCAATAAAAATCATAATCTATATTAGTATAAAAATATTTTAATTAAATTTATTTTGTTAAAATTTTGATGTTGAATTAATATACAATACGGATTTAGAGTAATTAATATTAAAATTTATTCAATTTGACAAATAGAGTACATCTTTGTAACATATAATCTGAATTAAAAATATTTTTGAACGTTATAAAAACAAGTCGGAAACTATGACTATTCAAATGAGAGATTTGCATATAGTTCATCAGGTTATAAAATATATATGAACAGATACTATCAAACATAATCTAATAGAGTTATTGGTAGTAAAAAGATGTTATTATAAGTTGTAAAAACTTGTCACAAATGAGCTCCATTCTTTTGATATTGGGAGTTCATGTGATAAGATGACATTAATTCTAACTGGGCACATATACCCTTTGTTTGGATTAGGTGAGAAAAAGGAAAGAAAAGAAAATAATAGGAAATAAAATGATCAAATGAGAAAATGAAAAGAAAAGTATTGTTATTTGGATAATTGGATGATGTAAAAATGATGTGAAAGTGATGAGAAAATTTGGGGAAAAAGAGAAAAAATGGAGAAGAAAGAGTTTTAGTGCTTGTTGGTGCATTTTCTCACCATTGGAGGCGATAAAAGTTTTTAAGTAAGCCCCATTATTATTTTTCATTTTCTTATCATTTTCCTTCCTATCCAAACAAGAGAAAACATATTGAAGTATGTGTTTTCTCATCTCTAATTTTCTTTCCCATCTTTAACTCACCATCCAAACAAAGGCATAGTTTTCTGCTTGTAAAGTTGACGATTTTTATCTTCTAACCCCTCAGTTAACCTCCCCCCCCCCAACTCTGACCCGAACCGACCACCCCATTCTCTTCAATTGGGTCACTCAAATTCAGTTAACTTTGAGGTAAAAAAAATTATATATTCCGTATTAAAATTAAGTAAAAATAGAAAAAAAAATATTGTTTTTTAAAACATAATCCGTATAATTTAACTTGAGTTGAAATATGTAAATATTACAGAGTAATTAAAAAATAATGATGTAATCATTGCAATGGAAATGGAGCACTACGAGTGTAATCAACCGTTCAACTTTCAATAATGTTCAATATATTTCAATTAGAAAGAGCAAAGCAATTCATTTTTTTCAAATCAGAGTGAATTTGAATTATGCCCAACCTCAAGCTGTGATTGTAGATCATGCCAAACAGCAAAGGCTTCTTTTCGGACTACTAATTGACATTTATATTCTCCGTAATGTTTAAGTGACGTGAATTAATTTTAAAAATGTAACGCTAGAAAGTATTATTATGTAAAATTTGTTCAAACGAGGACTATTATACTCCATATCACAACTTTAAAACGCGGGACCAGAGAAAATCATTTACATTATCACCAACTTTGAACTTTTCAAAGTGCATCGATAGGTTAAGTGTTCAACAAATGTAGATTGTGGTCTTTTACACATTTCAATACTCGTTTCAAGAGGAAAAAAAAAGAGTGTTGAACAAATGTAAAAGGCCACCACAACCTACAACTCCTACAAGCCTATAAAACAGTCTCCTTCCTCTCTACCCTCTTTTGTCACAAGGTTTAGCCCCCTCACCCACATCTCCGCCATCTCCGAACCCCCTTCACAGACGAAGTGCACCTCCTTGCCCGTGGCGGTGACGACACGAAACAGCCCCGCCTCCTCTTCCACGTCTCCCCTCCTCCGCCGCAGCCTATTCTTCTGAAAGGCAATGCTGGGCCCCACATCTGCCTCTCGACACACCACATTACGCCTCCTCGATTTACCCCAACACAGCACCCCACATTCCGACACCCTGACTTCCTTCGCGTGCAGAACCCCTCTCCCGCCCTTCGTGTACTTCCTCAACGACCCGCCGGCGACCACAAGTTTCCGCGCGAGCTCGTCTAACACGACGCGTTCCGCGTCGTTCTTATGTCTCCTTCTTGCCAGCGACAGCGCCGTTTCGCCTTTACTGTTCTTCGCGTCACAAGAAGCCCCGTGGGAGATCAGAAGCTCGCACGTGTGGCCCCGGCCTTCGCCGGCCGCCAGCATCAGGGGGGTGTTCCCGTCCCTGTCGGGTAGGTTCACGTCATAGCCCCGGCTTAGTAAGAGCTCCACTGCTTCCGAGTCCCCCCGGCGGGCGGCACAGTGTAGGGCGTAGAACGACCCTCCGGCGCAACGGTTGCCTTGTTGGAGGGCAAACTCAAGGAGCTCCTTTTCGAACAGGTCGCACTTGTGATTCCGTGCACATAAAGTCAGCGCGGTGTCCCCTTGACGACTGCAGAGTTTGACATTGGCGCCCGAGAAGACGAGCAGGCGGAAGGCGTCCACGTGGCCTTCCCTCGCGGCGAGCATGACAGCCGAGAATCCTTCTTCGTCTTGACGGTCGAGATCGGCCCCTTTATCAATGAGAGTTTTCAAGGCTGTGACGTCTCCTGATCGAGCAGCAAACAGCAGAGGAGAAAAAATCAGCATGTTGCTTGACTTGGGGACCTTTCCATTACGGACCACGCTTAAGACAGCATGTTGAAACCCTAGCTCCCATCGGTTGGAACGGGCGATTGAACTTGCGGATTGACCGGTTGTGTTTACCAAGGCTAAATCAGCACTGTATCGGAGCAACACTTTAAGGCACTCTTCTTGTCTGTACCTTGCGCAGATCATGAGACCGGTCTCACCAGTCTCTGTTGTTGAGTCCAGATCACAGCCGAAATCACTCAGACACTCGAGGACGTTTGAGAGCCCGAGACGGGCAGCCATGTGTAAAGGCCGGAACTCAGTTTTTCGGGCGGTTCTAACAGGACACTCCACATCAGCACCGCATTCTAAGAGTACCTTGAGAGCTCCCACGCTGCCACAGAGAACGGCGTGATGCACTAGAGTTCTCCCGTGATGAGTCGCGTCTAGGGGCATGTTTTGGAGAAGGGACCGTAAGATTGTGCCGCTCTCTTCAAAGAACTCTACAGAACACCACGTGATGCCGTAGGGGTCTGCTAGTCCTGCACCTACCCTAATTTCTTCTCCAGATGCAGCATCCCATGACCATGCTCCAAGCCGCACTTTGACATCAGTTTTAGCCCCGGCCTTTTTTTTCAAATTTAAGAAAAAAAACACCGATCAGATGTTATACGTTACTCGTATACAATGGTAACTATTTTAGTGCTATTTAGTGCAAATATTTCTACGATATATCCAAGCAAGCAAGCAGCAATCACCTCTAGCAGAAGATTGACTACTGAGACTTGCCGACTAACAATAGCTGCAACAAGAGCTGTGCAATTAACGTTTGTGTGCAGAGATGGTTTGCATGACTGGAGAAGCACGCGACTTGTGGCATTCACATCTACTCCACACTGCCACCACAGAGACAAAAAGAATGTCAAGAATTAAATTAAGATACAATGGAAATTTACCCTGTAGGATACTAACACAAGAAAGAAACTGGATTACGCGTGTGTTTTGGTGCCAAGATAAATTGTGTTGAAGATAAGAACCTTTCCCGAGCTACAACTACAAGTTTGAGCTTTTGGCTGAATTATTAGTTGTACATTTAGCAGATTGATATATTCCTACAAGCTCACCTTGAGGAGAGCATCCACCACAGCTGTGAATCCCCTGCAGCATGCAGTAAAGAGGGCTTGTACCGCAACTTGGGGACGAATGAGGTCAGACCCCATCAACAACTCGGATGCCCTTGCATGCCCATAACAGCTGGCCTCCAGCAAAGCTTCCTCACAGGCCTGTTGAGACGCACCAGCCTTGAGTAACATCTCTAAAATTTCAAAATGGCTCTCCCGCACCGCTACTGTCGTTGCGAATCCCTTAAAAAGTTTTTGGTTCACGTCCGCTCCGATACTCTGCCATGTGAAATGAAGTAGACGTTTTTAAACCATGTCAGAGTCTGGATAACTAACAAAGAATTTACTTAATGGCAAAAAAGGTAAGCTACTTGCAATCCAACATTCTTCAGTATGGTTTTTTGCTGACCATTTTTCAGGCTTTTAGCAAACAAAAAGAAAAAAAAGAAAGAAAAACTCAACTGACATTCATGGTGGGTGCCCATTTGAGAAGTGTGTCAAAACTAGTTACAAAATGGCAGACAGTATTTTTTTGACTTTTCAACTTTAATTTGATTCAACAAAAAAAGCATGATAGATAGAACCAACAAAAGCCTTCAGCCTCACTAAGTTTAGATTAGCAGTCTTAATATGGGACCACATCAAAAGGTAAAGGCGCACAAATTTTTCCCTCCATGACACCTAGGTAAATTGAGTTATTTGTATAATTTTAGTCACAAACCAGACCCATTAGAACTTCCTTTGCAAAACAGAGGGGTGTGGTAAGACACTAAAGGCCTCATTCATGAATCTTAGGCCATGCTTGGTTTTGGGATTTTCAAAGCACTTTTGGCAATTTGGATCCAGTTTGGCTAGCTTGACGGGTCAAATAACCATATAACTTGTTTAAATTAGCGGTTGTAATCCGAAATGCCAAAATATGAGTAGGGAGATAATTTCAAGTGGGCTATTGGAGAAAAATGGGATGTCTTTACTATGTTGTCATTCTATATCAAAATTATACAAACTATTCATTATATATGTGTGTGTGTTTGTGTATAAACAAATACTCCGTACTTATAAATAACTAAATATACAATAAATATATAGTTAGATATATAATACGGAGTATGTATAGATTATACAGAGTATATATTGCAAACATATTATATTATAGTATAAATAATAATTTATACAAATAAAATTATACAGAGTAATTTTTATTATATAAATTTTATTATATAATACTCCGTATAAATTATGATACATATATATATAAACATATCTAACACTCTATATTAAATTATAAACATATCTATAAATTATAATTTTTATAATATAAATATATTATACTGTATAATTAGTACTCCGTAGTACGTAGTATAAACTAGTTGAACTATAATATATACGGAGTACATAAAT